AGTTTTATTGTTGGAACTGGACTATGATCATTACCCTAAATTGTTTTTACATTGTTAAACCTATTTTTGATGTGGTAATGATTGTGCTTATCCAATTTCAATGATAATTGTCAAAGTTTCATGTTTTATATTAAGTTCATATGATACTTGAAAACTGTTGATTTGAATTATGCATGCTTATGGGTTTGTTAGATCATAGAAACTATTTGACATGCATGTTAGTGTAATTGTTGATCTAAATGCTTTTTATTGGACTTCATAACTTGTCCTCAAGTTATGGAATTCCAAAAGTCTTTTCCATTAAAATCATTAAAACTCATAAGTAATAGAAATGAAAGGTTTTGAATAGTTTCAAAACTTGCTCTCAAGTTTTGGAATTTGTAAAGTCACTTTAGAAACTTTAATTCCAAACCCTAGAATTTTAAAAGTTTAAAATTATAACCTTATACTATTATAGTATTATAAGTTAATATATATATATATATATATATGTGTGTGTGTGTGTGTGTGTGTATAATATCAAGTCAGTCTTACCGTTAGTAGGCCTCATTCACGAAACCAGACTATAAGGGGGTATAAGGTGTTGCCTATAAAATAACAGCTTAATGGGTGTCCACTCTCACCCACCGCTTCCTTGACTAGTGGAGGGTCGTTAGTCGAATGGGTAGGACAAAGACTATAATTTTCATTAAAAAAGTATAATGATAAATATAAAGTAACTAAACTTTTTATAAATTCCCAATCTTAGTTACTTTAGGGAAATGTGAAATTGTTGCTAACCTATGAAATTACAATTTGCACCTTGCTAAAGTCGTTAGTGGAGCGTGTGTGGTTAACTGACACACTAACTTGGACTTAACAAGGACCGCAAAGGGTGACTTAAGGTTTATCATAGATCGGTGGAGCATGTATGGTTAACCGGAACATCGATTAGGTGATAAAATTAAGGGTACCAAGTTAATTTGCATGGTTATTCACACCTTGTTTGTGATCCTTGGTATCCGAGTCACAAACTTGAAGGGCATTATCTAGATTTAAACATGCCATTGAATTGTTCAATGAATCTGAAAAGATCTAGGAGTTTTAATCCAATTAAAACCTAATAATCTATTTCGTTTTTCGTGGTGGAAATTGGTAAATCTTCATTTACCTACCTTCAAATATTTTATAGCTTGGATTACGATATCCCTCTTCCAAGTTATAAAATATTGTGTTAGGTCCTAGCATTAATATTTCATTTGGGTGTTTTATTAAGGATTCTATATATAATCTTAACTTGTCTTTCTTCCTTTTCAGATGTCTTCCAATCATGTTGCTTCTGGTTTAAACCCTACCGACTCCTTCTCTCTCATGAACCTTTGTGGGAGAGTCATCTTTGATGTAAATAATTTTAATGATTGGATTAGGAACATAAGGATGGTCACTCGTTATGAGGACACGAAATATGTCCTCGACAAGGAGCTTAAGATCATCGATGAGTCGTCTGCCACTCCTGAGGAGATTGCTGAGTACACTAGCCATGAGAAGGATGCCACTAAGGTGTCTTGTATCATGTTGGCTACCATGACAGCAAAACTACATAAATCCTATGAAGATTTCTACTCTTATGAGATGCACAAGGACCTGATTGAAGAATACCATCAGAGTGCTCGTCTGGAAAGGTATGAAATCATTACCTCCATGATAACGACAAAAATGAAGGATGAAGAGTCCATCACAGGCCACCTGCAGAAAATGCAAAGATTCGTGGTCCATTTTCTAAAGTTAAATGTGAACTTTGATGATGAGTTAGCAATAGATATCATTCTACACTCCTTACCCTCCTGTTATGACCAGTTCCGCATGACCTATCATATGAACAAGGAGGAGGTCACTCTTAGCAAACTTCATGGACTTTTGAGGACTACTGAAAGTAGTCTCAAAGGTAAGAATGTTGTTCCCACTCCTACTACCGCCCATGTTCTTGCACTCAGGCAAGGTAAAGGGAAAAAGAGGAAGACCCCTTCGAAGGGTACCAAGGGAAAGTCTCTTGATGGCTCCTCTTCGAGTGGAACCAAAGGCGATTCTGCCACTCCATCTTCCAACCCGAAGGATGCACAATGCTTCTACTGTTAGGGAAAAGGCACTGGAAGCAAAGTTGCCCCAAGTACTTGCAGGATGTTAAGGATGGGAAAGTTAAACCCACCCATGGTGTGGAATTATTTCACAACTGACACATCCTATGAAACCAGAGCTGAATGGTGTGGCTGAGAGGTGCAGTCGGACCTTGTTGGACATGGTTCGTTCCATGATGAGTCGATCTTCCTTGCCAATCTCATTATCGGGGTATGCCTTAGAGATTGCCGCCCATATCCTTAATCTAGTCCCTACCAAAAAGGTTGCCAAAACACCTCACGAGATGTAGACTAGGAAAGTTCCCACTTTAGACCACATCAAGATTTGGGGTTGCGAGGCTTTCGTGAGACGCGAGACTCACGACAAGCTCGAACGTCGAAGAGAGCAGTGTATTTTTATCGACTACCTACATAAATACTTTGGTTATCTCTTCTCCACACTAAGTGACAATGTTGTCTTCGTGTCGAGGAGAGGAGTCTTTTGTGAGAGAGAATTCATAAGCCAAGGAAACGATAGGATGCAAATTGACCTTGAAGAAATTCAAGAGTCAAATGGTGAAGGAACCTCAAACACTAGCAGTCAACCTGAGGAGGAAACTCCTGTTGAGCCGATTGATGAGTCCGTACCTCTGAGGCGTTCCACAAGTGTTAGGAACACACCTAATTATTATTATGGTTTCCATATTACTACAGAAGGTGATGCATTTATCAGTGATAGTACACTGATAAATTTGGATGAACCTAACAACTTCAAGGAAACCATGACAGACCCTGAATCTGCCAAATGGAAAGAGGCTATGGACAATGAAATTTAGTGTATGTATGACAATCAAGTTTGGAACTTGGTTGACAATGTACTGGGTCGTAAGACAGTCGGGTGCAAATGGATTTTCAAGAAGATGACAGACATGGATGAGAATGCACACACTTATAAAGCGCGATTGGTTGCGAAGGGCTTTACTCAAACCCCAAGAGTTAACTATGATGAGACCTTCTCACCAGTAGCGAAGATTAAGTCTATTCCCTTATGCTAGATATTGCTGCATTTCATGATTATGAAATATGACAAATGGATGTCAAAACCGCTTTCCTTAATGGAAAGTTAGCTGAGGATGTTAACATGAGTCAGTTAGAGGGTTTTTTCGATGCAAAATACCCTAATAGAGTGTGTAAGCTTGAGAAATCTATCTATGGATTAAAACAAACATCTCACAGATGGAATCTTTGTTTCGATGAGAAAGTCAAAGAGTTTGGCTTTTCGAGGAGCGAGGATGAGTCTTGTGTATATGTTAAGGATTGTGGGAGTATAGTTAGCTTTTTGGTATTGTATGTGGATGACATACTACTCATAGGAAATGACATCCCAACCCTGCAGGAGGTTAAGTCCTTGCTTGGTAAGTGTTTCACTATGAAGGACCTTGGAGAAGTTGCCTATATCCTAGGGATAAGGATATTGAGAGACGTGAGTAAGAGACTAATTGGACTTAGCCAAAGCACCTACTTGGATAAGGTGCTTAATAGGTTCAGCATGCATGATTCCAAGAAAGGTGACTTACCGATCTAGAGTATCGCCAAACTGAGTAAGACTCAGAGCCTGAGTACAGAGATTGAGATAACTGTATAAGCTATAAAGGAGCCTATCGAGATTTTCAACGATAACGAGAGTGTAGTTGCCATAGCCAAGGAACCAAGGGATCACGACAGATCCAGATACATCGACTGAAAATACCACTTCATTAGATATCGAATCGAAGAACTCCTCGTAACAAAGAGGATATCATCAGATGAAAAACCAACAGATCCCCTCAGGAAGGAACTCCTCGTGATAAAGAGGGTTGGTAACAAAATATGTAAAACTCAAAAAAAACATATTACATTTTGAGTCATTATGGCAAAGATATAAGTCATTTCCCCGTTTTTACTACAGCTATTGACTTGTTGTTTGTCTGTTTGTAAGCCGTAACGCCATCAATCAACGCAGTAAATGAGCTTGACTGACTACCGCCTACAGCCGGTCGATTCAGTCTTTTGGACCGTACTCCGAGTCCACTCGGTGCGACCTCAATTCCAGAACCTTCCTGATTTAGTGAGCCGTGTTGGTGGAGGATTTGGGATAAAGTCAATTGTCGTACGTACAGATGTGCTTCCCATTTCTATTCCCCGTAGAAATATCGTCTTTTCTCTCTATCTACAACTCTACCTGACGTCCACAAAACGCAACTGTTTCAAGGTAAACCCTAGATTTGCTCTTGATTAATCATGTGTTCACTTCTTAATCTTGCTGTGTTTTGAGCTGAAACTATAACGGAATCAATCAATTGGAATTCACTTTTTAATTTACGAATTTGGGAATTTTCATTTCCATTTAGGGTTTTCTTTCTCCAATTCTGTTGATCTCCTTGGTTGTTCCATGTGCTTTTCGGATGTTCTTATGATCGGTTTGTTTAAAATTTTAATTTCGAATGATACAGACTATCTAGATTTGTCCAAATTCTTCTTATTTTATCTGTCATGCCATTATTTTATTTATTTCCGATCAATAGATTGGAGAGAGAGAGAGAGAGAGAGAGAGAGAGAGAGAGAGAGAGAGGATTATACCCTGCAAATTGTATTATTTTCGTCTTTTTACTCTGTATATCTTTTCGATGATGCTTATGTTCTTGATGTTGCTGCCTCATGTGAGACAACTCATACTACTTCTTTATTTTTTATTTCTCTTTTTGGGTTATCGTTTCTAGAAATCTGTTGAAAACTTCACCTAATTACTTGTCGTTTCTTGATCTCGATGTAGGTAGTACGAAAAGTTCAGATTCACTGAGGGTGCCTTCATGCTTATTGAAGCTCAGTTTAAATTCACCGCTTTCGTTGGATCTCGCTGAAGGCTAGATGGTCATGGAGTCGCGTTTTCACGAAAACCTCGATTACATCAGTGGTTTCTCACTGGACGATGAGAACACCTTGCCAAACTTTGATCAATTTACAAACCATACCACTGGATACAGATTCAGAGACGAACCTTTGGATCTCAGCTTCTTAGATGTTCCTCCTGCACTCAACAATGATCTCCCCACTGTAAATTCGTCCTCACAACAAGATTCTCCCGATTTGGTTACAGATTTTCTAAACCAGTTTCTCATGGAGGAGAACATGGAGAACAACAACACACAAGGTATGTTCCACGATCCTGTAACTCTCCAAGCCTTTGAAAATTCTTTCTATGAAGACCTCAGTGAGAAACACCCACCTCAGCCACCACCCTCCGTTATCGTTAACTTCAACCTGAATCCTGAAAGCCCAGAAGAGATCTCCGGCGCATACAGTACACACAGCAGCACAAGCGGTGGTGATTTATTCGAGATCAAATCCTCTCTCACACAACCCCAATTACCTGATTCCCCTCCTTTTAGGCCCACCATTAACGCAACAGATTCGATGATAAACGCACACATGGCCCAAAACATATTCACCGATCAAGAATCTATCTTACAGTACAAAAAAGGAATGGAAGAAGCCAGTAAATTTCTCCCTCCTATCAAACCTCTAATTATCGATTTGGATAAATACAACTTACCATCAAAAGATCCACCAAAGGTTATAGTAAAACTGGAAAATATCGAACCTCATAATTTCAGCTCCAATTCCAATTCCAGTTCACCAGATGGGTTTCGTGCAAGAAAACATCACCATTTAGAAGACAACGATTATGAAGACGAAAGAAGTAGCAAACACAGACCCTCATCTGCTGTTTGTGAAGAAGAAGAAGCTCAATTATCTGCAATGTTTGATAGAATTCTTCTTTGTGCTAATGTTAATTCAAAACCCGACACCTTCCCTGATTGTCACTTAACTAGTTTACCACCACTCGCTTACAATTCATGGAACGCCTCTTCTTGGAGATCAGAAACTAATGACAGTTTTGACATCAGAACTTTACTAATCAACTGTGCACAATCAATAGCTTCAGACGATTTTAGAGTCGCAACCCAACAACTGAATCAAATAAGACGACACGCATCACCTTCCGGAAACCCCGCACAAAGGTTAGCCCATGTTTTCGCACATGGTCTCGAAGCACGCTTATCTGGCACTGGGTCCCACTCTCGAAAATCCTTAAAAATCTCAGCTGCTGACAAGCTAAAAGCTTTCCAAGCTTACGTAACCACCTGCCCTTTTAAAAAAAACGAAGTCTACTTTGCTAATAGAACGATCTATGAAGCTGCATTGACTTCTTCAACTCTTCATATTGTGGATTTTGGAATTGGGTATGGTTTTCAATGGCCGATTCTAATCAAACAGCTGGGGGACAGACGCGGCGGCCCACCGAAACTGAGAATCACCGGAATTGACCGCCCGGAGGCCGGTTTCCGGCCGGCGGAGCGCGTGGAGGAGACCGGGCGGCGGTTGGCGGGTTACTGCCGCCGGTTTAACGTCCCGTTTGAGTATAATTCAATCGCGATACAAAACTGGGAAACGATAAAGGTTGAGGATTTCAAGGTTGAAAGAAACGAGTTTCTTGCGGTGAACGCGCTCACGTGTTTTGAAAAATTACTTGATGAGAGTGTGATCGCGGATAATAATCCGAGGGATTTGGTTTTGAAGATGATTCGGGAGTTGAGACCGGATGTTTTTATACATTCGGTTGTGAACGGGACTTACAATGCACCTTTTTTTGTTACGCGTTTTAAAGAAGCGCTTTTTCATTATTCGGGTTTGTTTGATATGTTTGATGCGACATTGGATCGTGGGGATGCGCGGAGGCGGGATTATGAGAGGGAGTATTGTGGGAATGAAGCAGTTAATGTGATTGCGTGTGAAGGGCGTGAGAGGGTGGAGAGGGCCGAGACTTATAAGCAGTGGCAGGTCAGGAACATGAGGGCGGGATTTAAGGCGAAAAGGATCGATCCTGACCTTGTTTCACAGATGAAAAGTAAGGTGAAAGCCGGGTATCATAAGGATTTTGTGTTTCATGAAGATGAGATTTGGATGCTACAGGGATGGAAAGGGAGGATTCTGTGTGGGATTTCGTGTTGGGTATCAGCATAGAAGGGTGATGTACTGATATTAGGTGATGTAGATTTAGATATAGGTTGCTTTTCTAAAACCTTTTGCGTAATTGGGTGTCGGGAGTATATTATGAGTTTTAATTTTAATTATTTAGGGTGCAAAAAAAAGGTATAGATCATGGTCTTTTATGTAAGTTTCAAGATGAATGGAGTTGGTGTTATATATGTATTTGGAAGTGCGTCTTTCTTGCCTCCCTCATTCGACCTTGAATGTGTTGTATATTCATCTTATACTACCCTCGCAAATAAGTAGTAACTTGTGTATATTGTTATGAATAATTGATCAAATTTGTAATTGCTTACTAATTTGATGGTACCTTCATATTTTGAAGGATAACTACCTCTTCACCTCTTCTCTTCATGTATTATGTATTTATGTAGTATAATATATAAAATATACAACTTTAATATGATTTTGTAAAGTGACCAATTCTCTCCAAGTATTCTTCGATTTCTCAACTTGGTTTTTAGTTTAATTTGTTAATCTTGTATCGATTATACTAAATTTATAGGGATATTCACAAAATGACCAATTTTTCTAATCTTGTTATAACATTTAGACTACTTTCGAAGGCTACCAAGCAGTGATCGACAACCGGTCTTACGGAGTGGCTGGTCTCTAAGCTCTTGCTACGCTCCCTATGAAGAAGAGAACATGGCCCCCTAGTGCTTGCTAGGGGGCTCGCTAAGCCCAAGTCATTAGTTGTTTGGTGCAAGGAAAGAGAAATGATTGTTGGATTGTGATTAGTCCGATTGTATTTGACAAGATTGTTAAAATGGTTGACTGATTTTAATGCAAAGACTTAAATTGTCAAATAATGTTCCACCGTCTCACAATTTAATTAAAAAAATTGTTTTTAATAAAATTCAAAATATTCAACTACTATAAATTAAATCACACAAAATATCATCATCTACCTCGTATACTCTTTCAATTTACCAAAGAAAAATGTATTCATCTTACCCAAACAAAACCCTAAGAAACAACAAAAATAAATCTTCAAACTTTCCACTATTAAACCTTCTACTTCGAAATACTCAATCACCAAACCTTCCATCCCCAAATTTTCCATCACCATAATGTTATTGACCTTCATTTGATCAACCCATTCACTCACCTCCTAGCTACTACTTTCCCTCTATGGCTCCACAAATGTATCAATTCAATATGTATGCTTCTCAACCCATGCACTTCTACCAAAACCAATCCCAACCAATACCTCGTCCAAATTTGGATTTTGATCCGTTTGAGACAGTTCAAGAAACTCCATTCTTTTCATAACCTCAACCCCAAAGTAATTTTGAATGCCAACCACGTCGCCTTCTCGACGAGTCAATCGATTCCTTCGATGAAGGACCCGTTAAAGAGTCATTTCAAGAGCTCTAAGCAAAGGGAAAAGGGAAGGCTCAATACATAGGGTGGACGGATGATGAAGAGAGGGAACTAGCGCAAGCATGGCTAGATTAGTCGGAGGATCTGGCGATGGGTGACGACCAAGATTCGACAACCTTCAAAGCTAGATTTTGGCATAATTTATGTCACAGAATGAAAAAGCAGTGCCACAATTCTGGTACACTTTACTCAAAAAGGAGGACCGCCAACAAAGCATCAATGGAGTTCAACGACGTCTACATGAACGCGATCTGTAACCCCTAAAACAATGCAAACGAGGTGGACGTGCTAGCAAAACTTCGACAGATTTATAAGGCCAAAGTCGGAAAACCTTTTGGAAATGAGGCGTTTTGGGGAGTTATGAAGGGCACACCAAAATGGCTTAATCTAAAAAGTGTTGATGATTACACGGACACTTCCAAACGAAATAAAACCTCCGAGTCAACCCACATTCAATCTTTTGATGCGCATATCAGGGGGATTGACCTCAATAGCGACGATCCATATGAAGTTCCAACTCGTCCTATGGGATGACACAAAATAAAAAGAAAGCTGAAAGGAGCACAAAGTTCGTCGATTGAAGTGGAGGAATTAGGGAGCAACATCAAAGAGCTAGCTACCAAGCTTGAGGGTTTTTTAGAATTGGAAAGGATAAAAGAAAGGAACCGTACGATAAAGCTTTTATTACCCTAGGAGACAACTTGTCCGAGGAGGATCTTCGGATTTTCAACAATGCAAAGAAGAATCATATGAAAGAATACAACTGTGATAAGCCGTTATATTTTATGTATTAGATACATTTTTTATTTATGTTTTTTGTCTAGTATTAAGTAGTGTGTTAGGAAGTAAGTTATGTTTTAAATTTTTAATCGTATCTTATGTTTGATATTAATGTAAGCTTTTTAATTTAAATATTAATTATTTGTCTTTAAAAACATAGAATTTATGGAGTGCTAGGAGAGAAACGAAATTAATTTCTCTAATCAAATTAAATTTCTAACATTTAAATTTTCACTAAATTTTGTCAAAATTTTCACCCACCATTTTAACCACTATATATAAGACCATACTCACTATAAATAAGACCACTACAAACAGAAAAATGAAACCATCATTCTTTCTCTCAGAAAAATGTTGTCCGCATTGTCATTTTCGTTGAATGATGTTTTTGATAACGTGACACAGTCAGTCGTCTTCATACGTAATAGGCTAAAACAATATCTTAACAACATTGAATCGAGCAATATGCAACATAAACGAAGAAGATATATTCAAAGACAACTTAAAGCAACCCACCAACGTCTCATGCATGATTATTTTGAAGAGCATTCTCTCTTTGAAGGATATTATTTCCATCGACGGTTCCGTATGCATAAATATTTGTTTATGCGTATTGTAGAAGGTGTGAGTTCAATGTCTGAGTATATGCGGCAACGCCTGAATGCAAGAGGTGTCTTAGGCTTTGATCAAATTCATGAATGTATTGTTGTATTTTGTATGTTAGCATATGCCACCCCCTGATGCACTAGATGAGAGTTTTAGGATGTCTGCGCGTACCACACGAGAAAGTCTTACCGAATTTTGCAGATCTGTCATGTCTTTGTACGGTCCACGATATTTGCGTCGTCGTGCTTCTAGTGACATATAAAAGTTGTATGCTCATCATGCGAATGTGCATGGTTTACCTGGGATGTTAAGAAGTTTATATTGCATGCATTAGAAATGAAGTATGTGTCCTAACACATATCATGGACAATATACAAAAGGTAATTATCATTATGCTACGGTCGTGCTTCAAGCTGTAGCCTCATAGGATTTATGGATCTGACATGTCTTTTTCGGTAGTGTCGGTTCGCTTAATGACATTAATATTTTCAACAATTCATCAATATTCAACAAGTTCTTTGATGGTACTGCCCCAGATTCGTCATTTGTACTTCGAGGAAGTACATACAATTTTGGGTACTATCTTATGGATGTTTTCATTAAAAGTTTATGATGTCCGGATGACCCTCATAGGTCCAGATTTAAGAGAGTCCAAGAAAAAGCAAGAAAAGATACCGAACAAGCGTTTGGAGCACTTAAAAAGCATTGGTAGATAATTTTCATAGCATCCATGAATCGTGATATTTCTACTATGACAGAGGTGATGTATACGTGTATCATATTGCATAACATGATATTAGAACATGAAGGAATCACGATATGTGTGTATGATAAGAATGAGGTCATCACAGAGACATAACCACTAGAATATGTTGGTCAAGAATGGCTAAAAAGAATGAGGATAATCAACAGTGCAATAATCCATACCAGTCTTCGCCGCCATTTGACCGATCATCTTTGGACGATGGGCAATCTTGATTTAAATATTCTACCAGAAGACGAATTGGAAGGCCAATTCTCGAAGGAAGACTTGTTGCTTTAGTGTATTTTTTATGAAGAGTGTTTTTTATGTACTGAGTCTTGTTTCAAGATATTAAGTCGTGTCTGTTGGTATTAAGTCATATTTTTCGCTGTTTGAATTATTAAATTGTGTGTCTAGGTATTTTAACTTTTAATTTGTTGTAACTTTTTTTATTTAATATGAAATGCTTGTGTTTTAACAAATATAATTTATATTATATCAATTGTTAGTGGTTTAAAAAAATAAACTTTGATTAAAATTTTGTGCATAAAAAATGTTTGTGTATCAACATAAAGTAATTTAATTAATTTAGAAAAAATAAAATAAAAAAGGAGTGCTAGGAGTGTTATCACTCTCTACCCAATACTAAGATTATGTGCTAAATGGAAAAAATGAGGTTGCACTAAAAAAGCTGATGTGACAAGGTGCTAGAAGTGCCACCACTCCCCTTACCCTAAGATTGCAAGTTGTAAAATACCAAAAATTGTTTCTTAGTATTTAAAAGTCTTCCTCAAAACTTATTTTAGTCTTATTCAATGTTGATCGCTTTATATTCGGTGACTTAATGTTTCTTTACAATCGCTTTATATTCGGTGACTTAATGTTTCTTTACATATGAAGTGGCTTATTACCATTTTTTGGTCATCATTTTTTGGTACACACGAAAATTGATGTGCCCTCGGGTTCACCTTCCATCGTCTGCAAGAATTATTGATTCTTTCACAATTCGATTAACCTGGAGACAACAAACAACTCATAAGATGATTGGCCGAGAGGGGATCCCGGACCAATGCTCCGATGATAAAGTTAAAAAAGGCTTGGTATGTTGAAAATCGAGTGGATCGTAACAGAATAGTGTATGTGTTTGCGTACCTTGTGAGTGATTTTCATCACTTATTTATAGTCGATGCTAAGAGGTTATGAAACCTTCATGTACCGAGCAGGTTTGCTATCTTGTCGCATTAATGGTCGTACACCTGAAGGTACACTTATGTACTTTCTAGTCGTTTAACAGTTGTTTCTCGTCAGTCGAACGATCCATCAGCCACATATCGTTGCACAAGCTGTTTTCTTTGAGTTCCCATGTACTATAATACTGTTGTGACGTTATTTTGTACCTTGTTCGCTATCTTCTATGGTTTGGTATGCGTGTGGGTAGAGTACTAGGATACCTGAAAAGGACAAGTACTTTTGAGTTGACATTCATCATCTAATGGAATACTTGAAGGTTATTCTGATGCCAGCTGGATTGATCACACTAGTGATTCAAAATCAACAAGTGGTTGGATTTATACTCTGGCTGGTGGTGCTGTGTCTTGGGCGAGCAAGAAACAGACATGCATAGCTCATTCAACGATGGAAGCGGAGCTAATTGCCTTAGCAACAGCTGGCAAAGAGGTAGAGTGGATTCGAGATCTACTAATGGATATCCGTTTGTGGGATATTCCGATGCCTTCAATACCCATGTACTGTAACAGTGAGGCCACACTGTCTAAAGTATATAATGCGGTATATAATGGGAAGTCAAGACATGTAGGTCTGCGACACAATTTTGTGAGACAACTAATTGAAAGTGGTACCATCAAGGTTGTCTATGTCAAGACAAGTAGGAACTTGGCAGATCCGTTTACCAAACCTCTGACGAGAGATTTGGTTACATCTACCACGAGAGTCATGGGTCTAAAACCACAATAGAATCGTTTAGTGATGGAAATCCAACTTGACATTAGTGCTCCTAATTTTCAAGTTTAAAGGGTAACAACGAAATCACTAACGATAGAAGGTATTATCATTCACGATAGATCCATGTGAGGTAGGATAGTACGTCGTTGCCGAGAATGAGGTTGAGTTACGACTCTTAACATAGTTTTGGAGACATCTAAGCAACAAAGATGTTGTAAAACTTTGCCTATATGATCTAGAGGTGGTGCCGCCTCAAGTGAAGATTAGTGATTTATCTTCTAGAGGGTCATGAAAAGGATTTATAGCGCATGGCCATAATAGCGCTCAGGGAGAACACAATTATGACTTATGATGTATGGGGGTAAACTGGAGAGGTTATTTAGGTTCATGGTTTAAACCTATAAGGATACCATTGAATCGGTCTCTTCTTGTTTGTTCTCATTAAACTAGGGTTTAATCTTCGTGACACCCAAGTGACATCATCTGTCTGAGTGAAAGGAAACTTACCAACTTGGTGGGGGATTGTTGGAACTTTATATATAAAGGAATTGCAAGTTGGCAATTTCCTTTGTATCCCACATTGGTGGGGGGAAGAAACTTTTGTGGGTTTATAAGCCTATTCCCTTGGTAAGCCTTCAAAGGCTTTAGGGGATCAAAGGAATGGGCCAAGCCCACGAGCGCACCTAGCCTAGCCTAGCACTAGCCGACGCCGTGAGTGCGCGAACTGGTGCGATTTAGGCGCACTTTGCATGTCGCTGGGAGCTGAAGAGCTTTTATTTTTGATGAGTTCAAGTCAAGCCGGTTTCACCGATCCGGTCAAATGGTTGACTGTCGTTGACTTTGTGGAGGCCAAGTGAGGGTATTCTAGAAGGATCAGGAAACGGCTTGCTTGGAGAGCAAGCTGTCGCCCTAGGTTTTCTGGGGCCGGCCTATGGGGGCCCGTTTGATGCCTTCTAGGGTTACGATACCTATAAATACAACTCCCTAGGAGCCGCATTAAACTCCTCTCGAAATCTGAAAGCTTCCTCCCTCTCTCTGTGTTTTTCCCTAGTTTCCAAGTAGTTGCTTTGTGTTTGTCGATTTCCAGTGCTGTTGGAATATCGATAAAGCTGCATTAAATCCTGGGGTTTTACTCTGTTGCTTACAGCCAGTACAAGAGAAGTAAAAACCTTTAAGGACAGGAGTCTGATCCGTGCAGTTGCATCAAGATCAAGATCAGCAATCAACAGGTCGGTTTTACTTTTCTGTCTTGTGTTTAATTCGTCCAATAACATGACAGTCTTCTTCTACCTTTCTTATAATCAGATCTAATCGAGAATGATAGATCTGGTTTCGAAATGAAACTCGGTAAATATAATAATAATTGGATCTATTATTCGCAACTAATCGACATATAATTCTCAATATTATTTGTCGGTTTCCTTGCGCGTCTATTAGTTTGTTATATACAATAGTATATACATGGTCCGATCTATGCCTGGTTCGGTATATACCTGGTATGATATATATTTTGTTTGGTATACGCTTGATTCAATGTAGTAAGGGTATACCTATAGTTTCAAGCTAGGTTATATCCTATTAAGTCCTCTCCGGTTTGGATTGTTACTTTTCCGTTAGAAGTAATGGTTCAAACTTTAAAAAATCTTTGTAAAGTAACCGTTGTAACTGGATAGGGATAAACACCTGAATTGAAATTTGACCTGATAGTTCTACGACTTCTAGTGTTCATCATTGCCAATAACCGTCTCCTCAACTCCTTTTCCATTTAAAGGGGACTATAGTGTATAACTGCCAATTTGTCTACTTTATTAATATATCCTTGATTGACCTCCTATAAATACCCCCTTGGTTGATAACTTTCTTCACCACATGTAATTTCTTTCTTGAACCATCTTTCTTTCTCTCTTATTCGTTTTCGTTTTCGTTTCTTCGGTTTACTCCATCATGACTAGTAAGGAAATTTCTAGTATTCATACCATGGGGTCCAAACTTACCCTTAAGATCCTTGATGATATTATGAAAAAATATCAGATTGATCCTAAATTCAACCCGCAGTTTCCTGAACTTGGAGATCCATTGTTGACGCTCCAGAGGATTTTGTCAGTGTTTATTGTTTTTTCTTTAAATCAGGTTTGTGATTGCCAACATTTGATTTCTTGATGATGGTCATATCATCTGCACATCGCGCAAGTTACACCTGATGGTTTTAGGAAAATCATTTGTTTCGTGATGCTCTGTTCTACCCTAGGCGTTACATCCTTTATCACTCTATTCCGCTATTTTATGTGACTATATCAAATGGTGATTGGGTATCTTACTCCCTTTCGCCATGACTTGGTAGAAATTTGCGATGACCTTGCTACTTATATTAAGTATTTGACAGAGGAATTTTTCTTTGTGCCCACTTCTGCTTTTGCTGTGTGGATGTTTTATGGTGCTACTGTTGACACGACTTTTGATCCTTCTTCTGATTTATATCTCAAAGAATAGAGTATTATGAGTCACTTGCCAGATAACAACATCAAATAGGTCGATCATGAAGAGATAATGCTAGGTATGTTGGGGATATGCTCTTATTGGAACAAATTAGGGAAAAAACCAGTGGAACCCCTTGAAGGTTGTATGATTACTCTGTTAGAGCAGTTACACAGGAAGCGCTTGGCTGGTTCCTCATTGGTCATAGAGGAAGCAACTATCTCTAATTACCCCTCTCAATCGGAGTCCAATATGGATTCTGCTGTCAATCCTTATGGCATAGATACTGATGTGCTCGTGGTGCCTTCGCTTACTAAGAAAATTGTGAAGATGGAGCATGTTAGAAAAAAACCTCCATCTTTTTCGACAAAGGTTGTGTTAAAAGGTCCTTCCTCTAAAAGAAAAGAAGGAGTAGAGAAAATTCTTTCCTTGGAAAGGGTAGTGAGTCAACCTGACAAGCCGATTGACTTAACTTCTCCCAAACGACAAAGGACGGCTCGAAGGGGTGCAGTAAAAAGTCATGGTCTATCATCTTTGAACACTTGACCTTCGTCTGAACCTCTACATCCAGAGATTTCTTTGGAACCACCTGCAATAACTATTCTTCATAAGTGTCGGGTTACCACTGATCCTAAACTAAAGCATCCAGAAGAAACATTGGTTTCTTCTGATGTCGAAACTCCAATTCCTGAGATTCCTCTCCATTCTACTTTGGGGGAAACCCTTATTGTTGAATCTCTCGAGCCGTCATCAAAAAATTAAACTCCTGCTACTTTGTCTGCATCTGCTTTCTTTCAACAAAAACTTTTTGGGTCCAAATTTGGGCTCTTTTAGGCGTCAAAAACCGAATCGATGATTGTGACAACGAAGCCTCATCTTCTGGATTCGGGTGTTCCAGTTAGTTCGAGTGTTCCCCCTTGGAGATTCTTGATGCTGAAACCTTGTTCGGGGATGAATCTAAAGTTGAAATATGTGTTGACACCTCAAAGAATAATTCAGAAAAAACTCGTATGTTTTTGATATTATGTTTTATTCTGCTTTATCTTTTTGTTGTTTGTTCTTCCTGACATGAGGTTACTTCCTCTGTCTATATTTCATTTACTCCCTCTTCTGGTAAAGAGTCTCCTCTGCCCATGCTTATTACCTTTGTCACTTCATTGCTTGAATTTCAACCACCTTTCGCCATGACCTTGTTGGAACATGATGAAGTGATCCTGAAGGTTTGTATCGATCGTATACACTTCAAGTATGAATAACAAACATTAAACTAATTTAATCAAAATAATAAACAAAAACAAATAACATAGAAGTTCTCCAAATTGTTCTTTCACAAAGAAAGAGTTTTGTCTTCAACAAGAAGATGAGTTTGTCACAAAGATGATTGACACAAAGCCACGATCACTCACACAACATTAGGGTTTGCTATAATGTTGTATATATACTAATCTATACATGTATATCCCTTGATTGATAGGATTGCATCTAATCTATACTAAGAACCAATCTTATCACAAAGATACCAGATCTGTAATCTATTCTATACTTATTTATATCATTACCTAATATACAAAATATTACAATCTGATAACTGAACTATAAGCTGACGTTGATATGCTTGATACGATGGTGCATGTAGATGTAGTAGATGCTGACACTAACAGATCAACATGTTCGGTGTTTGACTCATTAGATCTTAAGGTGTGACTTTATAATATCCCGTATCTGATGATGTCAAAACTAAACTTTTTGTTCAGATTCATCTAAATTGATCAAGCTTAAGTTCATACAATCTTCGAACCAGCTCCATAGATATCATCACATGATATCCTCTTTCCAGTTCATAATGACCTAATCCTTCCAAACGAAGACGAAACAAGTGTTCAATAGGAGCATAAGGAAGGTCACCAGTGCGTTGAAAGCACATCTAATTTTGATTGTTGAGATAGAAGAGCTCGTGCTTAGGTTCTAGAATAAAAATATATTGAACAGGTTCAACACCCGCTGCCAATATGTTGTTGATGTATCTGGTGCATAAGAAAGAAGATGCTTGGTATTCTTGGACTGTCTGGGTGTGCCTGTTCTTCCTAATGAAGCTGATCTAGCTGATGGACCAGCGGATGGCACAAGATTCAGTTTCTTTAGTTTTTTTGAGAAGAAGTTGGATTTCCTACTTCACCTCCTGATCTTGAACACCCTTGTGTTTGTTGATGATTTCTAGAATTTTCATCCACTCACTTTAGCCAAATTTGACTAGCTCACGAGTAAATACAAGCTCAGGGTATTCAAAATTCACCTTATTTCTGACCAGGTGAAGCTTTAGTGACTCGTTCTTTGGCTTGGTGCATCTTACTTTGATGATGGGATTAGGCTTTGTTCTATGATTCAAAACGTATCCAAACTTCTTTCTATTGAGCTTATGATTTAGCTCTGAAACAATGTGTTGCTTTTCCACATTATTATTGAATATCTTCTTGACCTAATTATCACTCTCATCAGCTAAAACAAGTTCTTGAACAAGTTTGGCAAACAAATGTTCTTGTTTTCTGGCTTCTTTCTTTTTTCGCACATCAACATTGTATTCCAACATGATTTGTCTAACTTCCTCAACATGTAAGTTCCACGTTTCTACTAACTCATTAAGATTAAAGATGAGCTTGCTTTTATTTTTGCGAGGATCTGAAGTATCACCAACTGTAGAGGAACTTCCAGCTCCAGTTAAGACCCCCCCCCCCCCCCCCCGAGAGAGAAGCCTTCCTCTTTTGAGGATTGAGTTGGACACCATAATTAGAATCAATATCACTATCGGTTCCTTGAGGAACCTATTAAGAAATATCCCCCTTAAAAGAAGAACCAGGATAGACAACATTTAAGGGGACAATAGGAACAACAACTTCTTGCATGAAACCAAGATCAAGAAACCCTTCATAGTCATCGATTTTTGATTGGTCACCAGTGTATGGAATGGGCTGATCAGTTGTAGCATCAACATCTAGAATATTAGCAACACTAATCTTTTTGAAGATCAAATTCAGCTTCAACCGTTCCAGTTATCTCGGGCTAAGATGCAATCACCACCTGCATTTTCATTGATTGAGGATCCCCTTGATTATTCTCCGTATTTTTGGCAGCACCAAACTAGGGATGAGAGTTAGGGGGAGGAGAAGGAGTTCTTGGAAGAGGATGAGATGGTGGAGGAAGATTTGATGATGGAGGTGGAGGTGGAGGTGGAGGAGGCTGATCACCTGGAGAGCTAGGAGGGGTTTCATCAACACCATATCATCATCATCATCATCATCACACAAAACCATAAGCCGCTTTATTGTAGCCACATATCTTTCAAATTTAGTCAATCTTTTGTCCATTATCTGAGTTAACTGAACAATTAAAGAGAGTTGAGAACGCACAAAATTTTGAAAGTTGGAGCTGGATGCTTCCTGATCATCCTGATGAAGAGCAACCGTAATAATGGGTGTTGACATAGGGGGAACCGTCTAAACTTGAGGAGAAGTAGACAGTTTTGGAGAGAGTTCATCTTGGATCATTGGCTCAATAGTATCTCCAATAGGGGGGTTGATCCACGAGGTACAATGTCATCAATAGAGGAAGAGGATGAAGAAATAGCTGAAAAGCGAATGTGCTTGTTCAACCTTGGAAGAGAGTTCATTTTATAAGTAAAGTCCTCTCCCATGTCATCTGTTGATTCTTCTTCATCTTTATCAATGTCTTCTTCCTCATTAACCCCTTCTTTATTACTAGCTTTTGAATCATTATCATTCTTGTCATCATTATCTTCTTCATCACCAGGATCATCATTATCATCCTCATCATCACTATCTTCTTCATTACTAGCGTCATCATTGTCATTAACCTCATTAGCGTCTGAGGATTCAACCATATAGGGTTCTTCAATCCACTTTTGCATCCTTATAGTAATAAACAAATCACCCCGAGATGGAAAAACATTGATAATTCTTGAGGAGAGAGTAGGAATTGGAATAATAATTCCATGACTTTCAACACAGCCTTCTTTTCGATACAAGATCAGACCAAGCCAATGAGGATAAGGAACATTCAATGGCTTCTGGTTTCTAATAATACAGTCAATTGTTTGATCAATTTTTTTTAGCAAAGTCCATCTTTTGTTCTAAATGATGGAGTATAAAATCCTTTTCTCAGAGAGATTCACCTGATCGAAACTCCCAGTCTTGTGTCCAAAACATTTTCCAATTACACCTGTTAAGTACTTCCATCCTACATTAAAATATTGATGAAGAGTGTTCTTGTATGGATCACTAGTGAGGCCCAAAAGATGCAAGCTATACCCTAATTTTTAATGAACAGATTTGCAACTTTCTTTAGAGGGAGTTTTAGAGTAACTTTCGAATCGACGAAGATGAAGAACAGTTCGAAAGGATTCCACATCAATGGTGACCCTATATTGGATATATCCAATGGTTCTAGTGATGGTTCGAGCAACATATCAACAAAGCATGTATAGTAAAACTCACATACTTGTTTAGGGTAGAAAGGGTCCGGGAAATCATAGAATGCATATCAAAGAGGACCGCTCTTGACATAGCCAACAAAGTGCTTGATTCCTGAGTTTATGAATTGCTTTGGGATTTCATTTGAGAATGGAACATTGGTGGATTGAATGATGATGGTAGAGTCAGGAGCATTAGGACCTTTGATGATGTTAGCACTGGGGGAAAACTCGTACAAGGGCTTTGACATGGTGAAGGATTTGAGGAAGATGATAATTTGGAGTCTTTTTGAGTGGGAAGGAGAGAGAGAGAGAGAGAGAGAGAGAGAGAGAGAGAGAGAGAGAGAGAGAGAGAGAGAGCTTAATTGCTCGAGTTTCTTGTAAAGTGACCTAGGATGAAGAATTACCAATTTATACCCAAAATGTTTCTGCCATTTTTACGTAATCATGAGTGACAATATATGCATTGTAAAGATGTCGTATCCCAAGATAATGAAGAATCTTTATAGAAGTTATCCAAAGAGTTACCGATGAGACAAGTAAGTTACATTAGTAAGACAAGTTATCACCAGCAATGAGCATCTGCTTAAGCAATCAGTGAATGAATTTATGATGATCATATAGTTAGTTTATGAGGTCTCCTGATAGTATGGGCTAAAACTACCATTCACTGACATAGTATTGCGAGATGTCATCAACGTATGGTTTCATACACTGAATCATAAATCTCTTTTATCAGAAGAAAAATAGAAAGAATGGATAGGTGCGTGTAATATATCACGACCAAATCATACAAATGTTAAAGAAGGATGTAAGGGAAAGAATGGATTGGTGAGTGTGATAGTATACGATACATAGAGTAACCATCGGCACAGACTTTCAAACTTTCATCAGTGTGTGGTATATAATAGTGAATCGTTAAGTTTTACTAAGAAGATAAAGGAGAGAATGGATTGTTTCAGTAGCGCTGAGGTGAAATCAGTGTGAATCACTAACAGTTTAACTCTTCAACAAGAAGTGGTTTAAACTTTCATATCATAGAGTAACTTACAATCTAGAATAAAAGATCCACTGTTAATTCATAATGGTACCATGTCATACCTTAAACTAGGAGGTTAGGGACATGAACAACCCATTGTCATTTAAGGACCTGACAAGTATCTCTTACACTAATGACTATGCAATCAGGGTAAGCCATTGGGTTTTGCTCAATGTTTCAGCAGAACATGAGACTTGGTGCATACGACAAGCATGCTTCCAGGGACAAGGTCAGGTAAAACTGATTAAATTAAATAAACACCTAAACTTTTTATTAATACTTTTATTTGGACCAGGCAATCTCACTTTGAGAGTTTAGATAATGCTAGATAATCACTGTGAGAGGGTTAATGTTCTCAGTAGATGGTCTCGTTGATGAGAAACTTAGAGAGATTTTGTCACATACAACAACATGCTTGTAGGGACGATGATGTGTTAAAAGTTGCATACTAGGCTCAAAATTACCATCGTCGGATTCCTTTACAAAATGGTACATACGAATAAACAATATAAGAATACAAACAAAAGAATTAATAAAACGAGAAAATAGTTTAAACAAGAAAAACATGCAACTTTTTCAGGAAGGTGATAAAGACTCGTTCCATCAAATATTTGGAATTGAATGGTCATTAATGTGTTTCCATTTTACAAGATATCTACCGCTTGAATTTTTTTGGCTATAAAAAAGAACAAACAAGATCAACCATATCACACAAAACAACACAATTCATAGTAAACTAGGAGAGAGAATGCCTTTTATCGTTGATGTTCTGTAAATTGATTCCAAGTTTCCTGTTCATCAAGAGTAAAAGAAGAACATGAGCTAGTCTTTGTAACCAACGAGTTATAGGGATCGAATCTTTGTAACCTTCAAGTTATGAGAGTCACCAAGACAAAAATCGAAGGTTCCATACATTGAGATCCCTAAGGGAAGAGAATGTGGGATCATTGTCTTGTTGAAGGCGCCTTTGGATCTTTGAGGTGATGGAGTTGCAGTGACAGCGTCTATGAAAGTTAGGCGAGCCATGTCACCTAACTTCATCTCATCCCATTAAAACACAAATAGGCTGTTCTAGACAGAAAAGATATTTGTCCAGAAGAGCACTTGGTGGTACAGTTATCCTCAATCTGATCTCATCAACATGAAGCAACATGTCAATTAGCTTGTGCATTATCATTAGTGAGAGGGCAGTTGTTGCTGAAGAAAAGATATAGAGTTAGCGTTAACTAGCTCTTACAAGGAGGGTGATGCATTAAAGAAGTGACACGTTGATCTTAATTAGTTAAGATCAATGTTGAGAGGAAAACGAAAGGTCCTGACACATACATAAGAAAGAGAAGAACGAACATTGGCAATGTTAGTAGGAAAATGTGTATGTATAATGAATACTTCTTTGGTAAAGAATAAAAGAAAATTTTAATGTAAACAAACCAAAGATAAATTAAAAGTGTAGTAACTTATGTTCAAAAATTTAAGAGTAGCAAAGAAAGATGAAAAAATAAAATATCAACATCAAAACCAACAAATCAAACGATACAAATATCATTCTTCCTGAGAGCAGAAAACATGATTTTGTATTCAGAATCAAACACTTTTCCCTCATGACAGTTGAAAAGGACTTTGTAACTAGAGTAAAAAAGTTGACTAATAGAGATCAAGTTTCCTTTCAGACCTTCTAAATAAAACACATCCTCCAGCTTAATCATCCTGCATTCGAACGTTCCAATGCCTGAAACCACTCTTCCATTATTTTCACCAAAAGTCACCATTGGACCATCCTTCTCTACAAAATTTGTTAGGAGTGAATTGTAACCAGTCAAGTGTCTAGAATATCCACTGTATAGGAACCAAGTTTGACCAATATTTGGACTTGATCCTTTAGCAACGTGAGAACCATCACCATCACAAATTCCATCAGGGGAATAATTTCCAAGAGCTATGAGTCCCTTAACGTTCAGCCCTTCATCTTCAGATGTATCCTCTTAATCCACCCATTCTTTATGATCCTCTTGTTTTTCAATGAAGGCTTTTGGCATAGAGATGGTTTCCTTCTTCATATGAGCCACCCGCTTCTTAAACAAAACTTTATATTTCTTAGGACTTTAGGGTTCTTTCTTCTCATTGCAATCCCTAGAGAAATGGTCATGGCTACCATAATTAAAGCAATTACCTGATCTTTTCTTCTCTGAAGTGGATCTTCTTATTGAGCTACTTCCCTTGAATTGAGCTCTTTTAACCCCGTTGCTCTACTTTCTTTGTAGCGTTTGATGATAAGTGCAGCACTGGAAATAAGCTCATCGATGAGATCTTCATCACTTTCTTCACCCTAATATGAAATATCTGAGTTGCTAACGTGCTTCATTTCTTCCTTTCAAGACACCAGTGCAACAAAATTCTCTTTTTCGATTCCTTTATAATGTCTTTGCGAAGAGCTTTGGTCTCTTCATAATTTTGCAGATTACTGAACAAAGAATTCAGATCCCTAATATCGATCTTTTCACCATTCTTGAGAACAACAACGTGATATTCCTAGCTTTTTCCAAGAGAATCTAGAAATTTTAGAAGCAACTGAGATGAAGGCTTGATGGTTTCCAGTCTGCGCATATCATTAACCAAACAATTAAACATATTGAAGGTTTGGGTAAGAAACTCACCTTGTTGAGCAAAGCAATGCTCGTATCTCCGATTAAGGTTGTTGATGGTCATAGCTTGGACTTCCACGGTACCTTCATAATTGTAACGCCCGTAGATCCAGGCTAGTCAATTTAGAGACGATAAGCATCAAAAATGACTTTTTGATGGAAGATTATTTAGAATTATTAATCTTAATCAAGTTGTAGTATATGTCACAAGGTTTCCGTGCATATAAAGAATGCCAAAATCCGAGTTATAACGAAGAAGTTATGACCTGTCAAAGTTTCGCGATAGAACCGACACGACCCAGCGCGACCCAGCGCGATGTAAATAGTGAATTTAAGGTAGATAGATATCTATCCATAGTGATCTAAATGAGAATTGAATATCTCATCGATAGTAGTGCAACGACGGAAAGACGGACGGAATCGGAGTTCAGATGAAGGAGTTATGAATTTCGAACGGAGTTTTCCTGTCCCGGCCTACTAAAAATAATATATAAGTAATATACTTATAATATATTAAAAATAAATTCAAAATTAGCCAATGGAGTCTAAATGAGAGTTGTAGAGCACAATCTCACCTTTGTGGCGATATAAAGAACGTCGAAAACGGAGTTCGTATGCGAAAGTTATGAATTTCTGAAGTTCGGGGCGCGAAACCCCAAAACTGTCAGAGATAACGATTTGGCAAGCAGTGCCACGACGTGGCAAGTGTCCTGACACCTCCGGGAGGCCCC